TTTCTTCAAGTAAAATTCTGCATTATTTCAAAAGTCAATAATTCTCTAGTAACTTTTCTTCAAACCCTAACCATTATATTATAGGTATAATGGAGAATAATTGCAAAGAAAGATAGCTGAATTTACTGGGTAGTTCTTGTGATGCGAAATAATTGCAAATTAACACCTAGTTTTAACAGCATCAATCTCTTTTTGCTCTCATTTAAATGCATTCGCACACTTTAATTTTGAAATATAAGATGCAGAAATTTTTTTACAAAAATGTCAATGAAAAAAAATTTTCCCAATATTCCCCTTTTTCTCCTTCTCAATTTAACACTTTGAAAATTTGATATGAAAGTATGCTTTTAATATGAAGTACTAACAAGAAACAGTAGAATATCATATTAACCAAACTTTTATTTACTAATTTTTGATTTCGATTTCAAGAAATGATAAGAATATTGCATATGACTATGTCATTTTGTAAATAACATGAAGTACATGTAACAATTTTATGCGATTTTGATCAATGTATTATGCATATTCCGATCAAATTTGATTATCAACAAATCTTATATGCATATATTCTGAACACAGCTTTCACATATATACTTTATGCGAGAAATAAATGACAGCTGTTGGAACGGATGTCGTTTTTATTCATCTTATGTAAAAGAATACCTTGATTTAACCGTATTCACATAGTGAGATCATGGAAATGGAAGCATTAGGTGATATATTAGTCTGATATATGTATATTGTTAAATGATAATTAACAAAATAAATAGAAATATAGAGTAATTTAAAGGATAGAATAATAATATTTAGTAATAAACAGTGTTATATAGTAAATGTTTTTCTTTTGATAGAAGTTTCTTAGTGGAAGTATGTTGCCTTGTGTGGGATCTCAGGGTTTGCGAGAATCTTTCCGCCTGCTGGAGCGCAGAATGCTGAGCTGCCGTCTTCGCTGAGGTGGACGCTGATGCGTGCACGAGCTGGGACTGGCATGTTGTGTGGGCTCTTGAGTGTGAATTCCTCGCTGACAACTGTGTTTGGCTCGAAAGCAGAGAGGCGGAGCTCGACTTCACCGATCTCTTCGTCACCACCGAAGAGATGCTTCTTGAAGAGAACGAGAACGAAGGATGAGCGAGCTGGATCGTTGTATCTGAACTCCCATGTCTTGTTTGGATGGTTCTTCTCGTTGAATTCGGCGGCATGACCCATGAAGCTGCTTCTTGGACCAACACGTGCAACAAGTGTTGTCTTGCCGCTTGTATGGAAGCTGCCTGTGCTGACACCGTCAACGCGGATATATGCGTAGTTACCGCTGACCAATGGCATGTACTCGAAGTTGTTCATCATATCTTGCAATGCTAAAAATGAAGACATACCATTCTCTCAATTTTTGAGAGGCTCTACAATCAAGTTTTGAGAAAAAATTAGGTCATTGTTTCTGATGCTTGATATTTTATTTTTTCATCATTGCAGCACTCACGGAGATGCGAAAGATTTATCGAATAACTCGAGAAAATCATAACCGAAATTTATTCATGAAAAAGAGTTTTGAGAGAGAAATACCCAATTTTTGATTGAAAACGATGATTTGCTGAGACATCAACTTTAACATGACCAAGTACTTGATTATGTTAGATATTTTATCAAGAAATAAACTCGTTTGTGATCGGACAGACCAAAATCAAAATGTCTATTTATGAATAGAATGGAGGGCAATATGATTAGTAATTCAAGTTGATGTCTCAGCAAATCATCGTTTTCAATCAAAAATTGGGTATTTCTCTCTCAAAACTCTTTTTCATGAATAAATTTCGGTTATGATTTTCTCGAGTTATTCGATAAATCTTTCGCATCTCCGTGAGTGCTGCAATGATGAAAAAATAAAATATCAAGCATCAGAAACAATGACCTAATTTTTTCTCAAAACTTGATTGTAGAGCCTCTCAAAAATTGAGAGAATGGTAGGTCTTCATTTTTAGCATTGCAAGATATGATGAACAACTTCGAGTACATGCCATTGGTCAGCGGTAACTACGCATATATCCGCGTTGACGGTGTCAGCACAGGCAGCTTCCATACAAGCGGCAAGACAACACTTGTTGCACGTGTTGGTCCAAGAAGCAGCTTCATGGGTCATGCCGCCGAATTCAACGAGAAGAACCATCCAAACAAGACATGGGAGTTCAGATACAACGATCCAGCTCGCTCATCCTTCGTTCTCGTTCTCTTCAAGAAGCATCTCTTCGGTGGTGACGAAGAGATCGGTGAAGTCGAGCTCCGCCTCTCTGCTTTCGAGCCAAACACAGTTGTCAGCGAGGAATTCACACTCAAGAGCCCACACAACATGCCAGTCCCAGCTCGTGCACGCATCAGCGTCCACCTCAGCGAAGACGGCAGCTCAGCATTCTGCGCTCCAGCAGGCGGAAAGATTCTCGCAAACCCTGAGATCCCACACAAGGCAACATACTTCCACTAAGAAACTTCTATCAAAAGAAAAACATTTACTATATAACACTGTTTATTACTAAATATTATTATTCTATCCTTTAAATTACTCTATATTTCTATTTATTTTTGTTAATTATCATTTAACAATATACATATATCAGACTAATATATCACCTAATGCTTCCATTTCCATGATCTCACTATGTGAATACGGTTAAATCAAGGTATTCTTTTACATAAGATGAATAAAAACGACATCCGTTCCAACAGCTGTCATTTATTTCTCGCATAAAGTATATATGTGAAAAGCTGTGTTCAGAATATATGCATATAAGATTTGTTGATAATCAAATTTGATCGGAATATGCATAATACATTGATCAAAATCGCATAAAATTGTTACATGTACTTCATGTTATTTACAAAATGACATAGTCATATGCAATATTCTTATCATTTCTTGAAATCGAAATCAAAAATTAGTAAATAAAAGTTTGGTTAATATGATATTCTACTGTTTCTTGTTAGTACTTCATATTAAAAGCATACTTTCATATCAAATTTTCAAAGTGTTAAATTGAGAAGGAGAAAAGGGGAATATTGGGAAAATTTTTTTTCATTGACATTTTTGTAAAAAAATTTCTGCATCTAATATGCATGTAGATAAACAATTTTGGCCCGATTTCGTTTGGAAATTTTTGATTTGTATGAACCGCTCATAAAATTGAGAAGAGAGAAAATTTCATTCAATGAACTCTCAGAAAGTATGACCGCTTTACCCAGAAAAGGCGATTGAGAGAGAGCTGACATCATTTTTCGCAAATGTCTACCAAGAAAGACTACGCATCACTCTCAGTTGCAGCACACAAGGAATGGCGCGGCAAGATCGAGACCGTCGTTCGCTGCCAAGTTGAAGACAAAGAAGATCTCTCCGTCGCATACTCACCAGGCGTTGCACAGCCATGCCTCGAGATCCAGAAGAACGTTAACCTCTCATACAACCTCACACGCCGCTGGAACACAGTTGCTGTCATTACCGATGGTACCGCAGTTCTCGGCTTAGGCGACATCGGACCAGAAGCCGGCATGCCAGTCATGGAAGGCAAGGCTTTACTCTTCAAGCGTTTCGGTGATGTCGATGCCATCCCACTCTGCGTCCGCTCCAAGAACGTCGACGACATTGTCCAAGTTGTCTCACTCCTCGCAGGCTCCTTCGGTGGTGTCAACCTCGAAGACATCTCAGCACCACGCTGCTTCGAAATCGAGAAGCGTCTCCAAGAGATCTGCGACATCCCAATCTTCCACGATGACCAGCACGGCACAGCCATCGTCACACTCGCCGCACTCCTCAACGCACTCAAGCTTGTCGGCAAGAAGATCGAAGAGATCAAGGTTGTCACAAGTGGTGCAGGCGCAGCAGGTATCGCCATCATCAAGCTCCTCATCGCAGTCGGTGTCAATCCAAAGAATGTCATCCTCACAGACAGACAAGGTGCCATCTACAAAGGCCGCTCCGGCTTGAACGACATCAAAGTTGAGATGGCGGAGATCACAAACTCAGACCTCAAGAAGGGCACACTCGCCGAAGTCATCAAGGGTGCCGATGTTTTCATCGGTGTTTCTGCACCAAAGACACTTACACAGGAGATGGTCAAGTCAATGGCCGAAAAGCCAATTGTCTTCCCAATGGCAAACCCAATCCCAGAGATCATGCCAGATGAAGCTAAGGCAGCTGGTGCCGCCGTTGTTGGCACAGGCCGTTCAGACTTCCCTAACCAAATCAACAACGTTCTTGCATTCCCAGCTCTCTTCCGCGGTGCACTCGATGTCCGCGCATCACGCATCACAAACGAGATGAACATCGCCGCAGCACGCGCAATTGCTTCACTCGTCTCAGACGAAGAACTCAGTGCAGACTACATCCTTCCTAACCCATTCGACAAGCGCATCAAGGAGACCGTCTCTAAGGCAGTTGCAGAAGCTGCCATCAAGTCAAGTGTCGCACGCATCAACCAGTGAAATTTCAACTAACATTTGTTATTTCAATATTAATAATAATTAAACTATCCTCTATTAAAAAAATTGTTCAATTTTTTCAAAAAAACATCAAAAGCTATGAGTATAAAGTATTAATTACATATGAACTTACCATAAAGATATCAGTGTATAATCCATTTTTATAAAATCTGTGGAGTTAAATTTCCAAAAATCGAAATTTATTCTTGGAATCCATTATTGTAAAGGTATTTCGAATTTCTTAAAGTTATATATGTGTCTTGCACTATTTTTAAACAAAAATACCTTTAACGAAATGTAGCAATTGTAAAAAATTTGTCATCCGATCGATAACAATAAGCGGATCATAATATCGTAATAAAATAGACATGAAAAATACCTAGATTTACAGATTATTTTCGATTTATGGGCTAAATGCGATTCGTTTTTCACAAAATGAAAGAGATTTTAGACTTTTGAATTGAAATTTTATTTAAGTAACAAAACAATTTTTCTTTACGCTATTAATTACAAAGGTACATGATAAAAATAAAAACATATTATCCCTGAACTATTTTCAAGTATTCTTCTCGGCGTAGAGGGAATATCGTATCTAAATACTTTTGATTAACGGTATTGAGGAGGCTAAGAATACTATAATTTTTTAAATTCTTTTTTTTTAACTCCAATACTTCAAGCACAACCTCCTCAGTATTTATTGTGATTCGATACTCACCTGTTCTTTGAGAGTGATGAACCAAACCAACTATCTCTAGTATGCCCAGGACTAGATACAACCTTCTTTCTAAAGACTTCCTATCCGAAGTTGGGTTCAAAAACAAAGTTGCAACATCATGGATGCAGAGTATATTGACATTTAAGAAGAAGTAAAGTGTAATAAATCTGATTGCAAGGGCTCCAAGTGAAGGAGACTGTTCGAAGGAAAATAATTCTTGAAATGAGAAGTTGTCAGAATCAACTTCAATTTCATAGTAAGCCTTTTTGATTGTATCTGCAATATTATTAACTGAAAGCCAAGAAATTGATCCTTTGTATTGTGATTTGCAAACTCCAAGGGCGGAGAATACATTAAAGAAGTCGTATACCCTACGGCTCTGAATATTAAATTGAAGAGATACATTCATTACGTTTAGATTCTTAGAATGATGATTTTCGAAATGTTTGACCATTTTTCCAAATATCTCTGTTATAGATTTGCTCTCCTTATCATTTTTCTTATGTGTTGGTGGACATTCTTTGAGCACTTCATATGATCCATAATCTATGAGGCTTATCATCGTTCAAATAAATTCAGTAATAACCATTCAAAAAATAACAATTGAATAAATTCATTGAATTCGAAAATGAAAATCTGATTGATTATTGTAAGTATTTAGCATTTTTGTATATTAATTTTTTATATTCGAGATTTTTTTGAGTAAACGGTATTTTTTAATTTAAATAACTCTTTAATTATATGAATTTATAAATAATAATAAATTTTTGAGAAATTAATTTTTTGGCAATATAAAAATGATGTTGATTATTTTGATGCTAGATATAATGGAGATATGAAATAATTAGATTTCCAAAATTACAGTTCTTTCTCAAAATTGAGTGAAAACCTAATATTATCAATTTGTAATAAAGAAATCGATAGAATAATAAATCATTAGACAGAAAATTTTGAATATCATTTAAAATTGAATATTCCTCCAAAATAAAGTTATGTTATAATAGATGTATTGCAACAATTATAGCAAAATATTTCATTTTTATCATTTTCCTCGAAAATTAAAATGATTTTGCTTAATTTTAAATTTTTCTGAGAACTCTAAATTGATTGAAAGAATAATGTTTAACAATATAAACATAAAATTCTAGTAATAAAGATAATTATATTCATAGACGGCACGATGACTCATGTTCAAATCATGTCAATTGTCTTTTAAGAATTTTGAATTCAAAATTTGCATTAGATTCTTAACATTTACCGTGCCTCGATTCTATTAAGTATTCCATTAGAGTTTCAAGAGATTGTTTTCCATTTCAATTTGAAATCATATATTTGAAATTAAAAATTTAGTGCCCTTTATATTCATAATTATTAGTTATGTTTCAAATCAAAGGTACATTCACTATTTTTGACAAAATTTTAAATTTTCATGGGGTTGTAAATCTTATAATAACTAGATGAATAAGGAATAAATCCCAGTATGATGTGCATCATTATATTAAACACTATATGTAAGGCTGGTGATTCTATTAACACTTATGAAGATCTATAGTATTTGAGCAGATAAATTTGATAATTTCCAAAACTCTTATATTTCAAAATTAAAGTGTGCGAATGCATTTAAATGAGAGCAAAAAGAGATTGATGCTGTTAAAACTAGGTGTTAATTTGCAATTATTTCGCATCACAAGAACTACCCAGTAAATTCAGCTATCTTTCTTTGCAATTATTCTCCATTATACCTATAATATAATGGTTAGGGTTTGAAGAAAAGTTACTAGAGAATTATTGACTTTTGAAATAATGCAGAATTTTACTTGAAGAAATCATTAATTTATGAGTTCCAAATTGCTAAGCATGACGAAGGATCATTAAATTTGCTACAATTAAATACATTTATTGCAGAATTAAGATTTTTGAAATTAAAAGTTTGAAATATTGCCTTTTTGAATAAAAATTTAAATTTTATTATATAATCATGATAATATCTTATAGAAATTAAAAGAAAATATTTTAAACCATTCAAATATTTTGAATGTCTTATCAATTTAAAATATTAAAAGATAGCTTTATTTTATCATCATTAGTTGTTATCAAAGTTTTCTTCTTTTGATGAACAACAGTAAATGATTTGTTAATTACTTGTCTTCCTTTTCGCAGCGAAATCGAAAGTTATGATGATAATCTTGGTCTCAATTTTGAAACTCTCTGATTTACAAGTAAGCATTCCTTTGGAAAAGCAGTCCTATTCTGTTTTCAAGATATTTTAAAGCCTCCATTTCATACAATGCGCAGATCTATTCGAAATTGCAAGAACTCTCAAGAAAAATGCAGCAGCAAAGAAGATTCCATAGTTTCTAGCATCAAAAATTTACAACCTTAATACAACGGTTAAAGAGAAGCTCGAAAAGAAAATAATTAACCATAAAGCTGGAAACCATTCGATTATACTATTAGATCTAATAAAAAGTTAATTATAACATATTTTACATGCTATTTGTTGACTTTGTTCCATTATATTACCATATATATCTTTTTGAAATCTAAAATACTTTTACGATTTTAACCATGTGTTGTTGAAACCATATATCAATCTTAGCTAAAGTATAGTTTATGAGTCTGTCACCATCTAACGTATGAATTTTCAAAAATGTCAAATATGTTCATTTTTTCTGTATATTCAGCCATAATTTCACGTTGTTATACTATTCAACTATTATTTAATATTTTTATCGATTTAAATATATGATGAGATGCTTAGTTCTCCCGGAAATCGATTTTTAATCGCAATTTTAACTTTCCAAAAAAAATTCAAAAATAAAAATCCCTCTCAATTTTCTAAGTTTTCTAACTCGCCAAATCTCTAGCCAAATTTTTTTGGCCCGTATAAATATTGTTAGGCACTATATAGGGATGCTATTTATCCTATTTTCATCCCATTTTACTGTTATCGCCTAGTGAATGTACCTTTTTCAAATCACAAGTTTTTGACCACTCTTCGATAAATATCATAAATTCGTCCTTTCTTCAATATAAGTTAGAGAATTAGAACTATCTCATTAACTATCTCTGAAATATCCTTAGTACTTCGTAATCTGCTCATGAATAATTTTAATTTTATGATTTCTTAAAATTTTAAGATTTTTGCTTCATAAGTAGAAAGGAACTTTTCCACTGTTCTTGAAAAATCCATTACTAACGAGAATTAAGTCACTTTTTAATTTTATTAATTTGGATGGATGAATTATTAGTACATTTATCCTGGATTAATCATATGGCAAAGCGAGTATTGAGTCAATCTGATACAGCATCAGAAAAACTTCTTTTATGCTTGGAATTTGCTTCAAATAAACAAAAATTTCAAGATATTTCTCTGAAATCAGATATTGAAACCATACAAGATGTTTTATTAGGAATACAATATTTAATTATCGCTTCCATTTTTCATGATGTTACGGTTTCAAATCAAAATGCTAACGACAATTATTCTTCTGTCCTAAATATTTTAGATTCAATTGGATATAAGCCACAGCAACCATGTACTGTTTCTGGTCTTGTATCAGGAAATGCAGAAGACCACTTAAATTTATGTTTGATCATCGAATTTGTCGTTTTTGACAAAACTTTAACCAAAGATCAATTGATAAGTGACATAAGAAGACTTCCAAGATCATTTTACGTTTTGGAAAAACAAGTAAATTTCATAGAAGAAGCAATTAACATTTGGGTTTCAAAATTTCCCTGTATTCATACAATTCCTGATATTACTGATGCACAACATGATATTGCAAAAGGATATTATGTTGCAGGAATCCTATCAAGAGTTTTTCCCGCACAAGTTCCAAAATCTTCTATAGTAATCAATAGTAACATGACAGATGAACAAATTAAGAGTAATTGGGACCTTTGCAAACCTGTTTTGAATGATTTGGGCGTTTTTACACCATCGAAATTTCCAATTCCAGAAAAACTCTTCATGTGCTTCATTTCGGATCTCTTTTATGCAACTAGGGTAGGCGCTAAAAAGTTCGTTAAGGTAGAACCTCCGCCACCTCCTGTAGCTGTTGTAAAACCGATCGTAACTCCAATAAGCGTTCTTCCTGCGCGGCCATTGATCATTACATCAGTAATAAACAAACAGCCTCGTCCTAAAACTTCAACTTCCTCTTCAAGAGGAAACAACCAAAATAAGAAATTATCGAAACAACCAAATGACACAGAAAAAACAAAGAACGCTATGTCAACACCTATTGTTGCCTCTTCTAATAACGATGTCGAAATCGAATTAGTTTCCATAGCATTAGAGAATTTTACAGGTCATAACGATCCAGAAAATTCACAGTTTGCAAAAGTCATTGTTAAGTTTGCAAACAGCCATAAAATAAACAACAAAGAGTTCCTAGCAAAATTTTCTGGGAAAGAAGAATTTGCTCAGAAATTTTTTGAATGGTGCAGGAAAAAACCAGAAGGAATCCCTCCTTCTGTCATGAAAGTAGTGAAAAAGAAGCCGTGGATCGCTAAAGAAAAGCAATCGAACGAATCTCATGAAAAACATCATCATAAACACGAAAGTTCATCGAAAAATGATAAAAAGGATGAAAAACAAGATCAGAACAAGCAGGAAAAGAAGGAAAACGTGAAAAATAAAAATAATGAGAATCAAAACTCAAAATCTGCTTCTGAAACATCTACAAATGATAAGAAAAGTGAAAATACAGATCAGAGTAAGCAAGAAAAGAAAGAAACTGAGAAAAATAAAAATCATGAAAATCATAATTCGAAAAATTCCACTCATACTTCATCAAATGAGAAGAAAAATAGTTCCAAACATAATGAAGATGATAAAAACCATGAAGATCCGAAATCAGATAAAAATAAAGTCAAAGATCAGAATTCAAAGGATGAAAATAAGGAATTAAAAAATTCTGATAAAAAAGAAATTGATCAATCACAAAATCAGCCTAAAAATGACAAAAATCAAGAAAATGAAAATATTGAGAAAGAAAAACAAAATCCAGCTCAAGAACAGCCAAAAATAGTTGATAAATCTAAACTTCCACATGTTAAATGGGTTGGAGTTGATGAAATTGCAGCAAGAAGAGCAATGATAAACGCACAAAAGAAAAACAGTCTTTCTATTTATGGCGACTCCGAAGAATCACTTCCTGATGAATTTGAATTGCGAATGGACCCTCCAAAGAAAGCAATTCCGGAAAGATTCAGATTATCTCACTCCAAAAAGGAAATTACGGAACATACTTCAACAGTTCCTAATATTAGCACAATAGCTAATGCTTTGAAGTATCACGCGCTTCCAGGACCAGCTCATGTCGATGAATACAATAATTTGATGAAAATTTTACAAGATAGATTCTCAAATGAGAGAATTTTGATATTAATGGCATCAAGAACTATGAAATATAAGGGTATTTACATCCTAAACAATGATGTCGCAAAAAAAATTTATGGAATCGGCCAAGACAGCATTTATCAGTCGGATGTCTCTGCCTTCTATAAATTTGTTAACGGAACGAAACAGTACGAAAGAATTTTATCCAAATCTTTCACTCAGACAACAGATGGTTTTTCCATGAAAAGAGAAAAAGAGCCACAATCGTGGTAATTCTATAATTTTGTTTGTATTTATAAAATATATGAATATTATCTTAATTTATCAATTTTTCTAAAAAAATTTCATTAAATTTTAAATCTGAAATGACTTTCTTAACAAATCAGACTTATATTGATACAAATATTTGAGATGTAGATGAAAGAATGCTGTTTTGAGTTTATTTACAAAGTTATTTTCTCTAATTTTATTTGCAAAAATCGAAGTTTCTTAATTTACTTCGAACAATTATTAAAGTAAGTTGTTTATCAACTATATCTTCTTTCTAAGAGGCATGTTCATTAGATCAAATAAAAATCTGATCATATTCAAGAATCAGAGTTACATATGATAGGAAAATATTAAAAGATTAAAATTCTTAATGATTTATAAATACAAACAAAAATATATAAAAATATTATCATTTCATTAGTACTTTTTCCATGTTGGAGCAAGCTGTTCCTGATGCTGGCTTATCTAGTCTATTTTTAGTATAAGAATAAGGATTAAATATATGTTTTTCTTCTTCATCTTTCTGAGTGAATTTTTGTCTAAAATTGGCGACAGAATAATGCTTGATAGCTCTATTTAACTTGTCAAACTTACTCTTCTTCTCTAAAATGAAGGCAATGTACAAAATTAACTTGAAAATAAGGCAAATAACAGGAGTAAATAAACAAACATAAGCAATGAGATCTGCGGATGATTCTATGGCCGAATATATATGTCTTATAGTTGATTCGTTCAATTCTATTTTAATTGGCAAAATGTATTCGAATCCATTGGTCACAATTGAGAATTGGACTCCGGAGTTATCAGTTTCATTCGTGTAAAGCCAAAGATAAAAGTCAAAACACATTTCTTCCCTATTTTTTGGCAAGATTTTTGTATCTTTCATTCTATAAGTGAGAAATGACTGTTCTGTGAGTTTCATGTTGATTTGGTTTATTTGTTCGTTTCCTATGTTATCAATTATAATGCATTTTGACCATTTTTGAGAGGAAAATAGTTTATCAAGTCCATTTTTGAATTCTATTGATGTTACATGCTCTTTCTTGGTATTAGTAAACATCAGTGATGGAGGAACAATGTTCATTGTAAACTTATAATAGAAAGGATAGCTTACATTTGAAATTACCATAATTTCTGGGGAAACAGAGGCTTGGCCGTGTAATTCAAAGCATATATCGACTTTTGTCTGTTGGGAAGGCTGCAAAATTACTTTATCAATGCACCAAATGTTATAATATTTTGATTTCTTCGGTTTGTCGAAGATAAACATAACAGGAACATTGAAATAATTAGTAATTGAATAAGACTTGATCAATTTGTTGCCAATATGAACAATTCCAAAGTCTTTTGTGAAAGATTCATATGAATAATAAAAAATCTGCCTTTTGAAGGTTCGTTTGATAAAGAATCCATCAGACAAAGTCAGAATCAAGTTAATATGGACCATAGGATTGCTTAAATTGCTGTTTAGCCAAATATTTGACTTTATTACCGTTGAAACTCTATCTAAAAGGTCAAAGAATGGTCGGACTTCTTCTGTATGCGTACATATAGTCTTATTAAACTGATAAAATACCTTTTGAGTGAAGGGTTTCATAATAAATGAAAGAATTACTTGATTTTCACCAAAAATATCTGCATTTCCATATAATACTCGCATAACTTTGCTATAATAGTATATCATTTTGAATGAACCATGCAAAGTTGAGCCAAATAAAATTTCATGTTCAGAATTAAAATCAATTTCGTAATTTCCTAGGACAATATTCCATGAAATAGGTATAACTACTTCTAAACCTTCAACACGAACAGTAATATCGCTAGTAACTAAGTCTGTTGACTCAGAATTATTCAGAAATGTGAAAGTTATTGGAATATAAGAGGTAGATCTCATTGGAATCTCATATTTAAATTTATCACTTGCTACTTCAAGGATTGCTTCTTCAGGGCCTTCAATAGAAAGCAATCTTGTCGAAATTAATCTGTTATTAACAATTTTTATCGTTAAATTCTTACAAGTATTGCTGAATGCTGTTCCAAGATAATAATAGTCATTGTTTTTTGTGATTGCTGTGCCTTCAATGTCAATTTTCAAATCATTTTCCAGGGAAAATCCAAAAGAAATGTTATTTGTTGAGTGGTTCGTATGTATAAATACTGTTACAGGCGTGGTCTTGGATATTAAGTGGTCAAACCTTGGACTTAAAAAGAATTCTTTCAAAAATTTCCCTGGTTTTACGATTTGCGGCTTAAATTCATGCACATCATATGAATGAGAGTCTATGGAAACTCCTAGGACGGTTAATGGTTCGTTTAAAGTGTTTTTAACTACAATTGTTTGATATCCGTATTCAAACTTGTTATATTTATAAGAAACAACGAAATTCCCTGTAGACAATGCTATTTTAAACGGTATTTTGACATGAAACATCTTTCCTTTTGAAAAAATATCGATCAAAATTGTTCCTTTTTGTTTATCAAGTTTATAAAGGTTAATTTCAAGAACTCCTACTTGTGTATTCTGTTTTGGATCAATTGTCATCATTTGTGGTATTACATCTATGTTAAATCTGTTTGCTATTCCTTGAATATCAATTTTCTCAATTGTTCCTAAAGAATCTGTTGGATTTACAAGAACTATTGGCAGTTTATTGCTGAAATCATCTCCCGAAATAGTGTATTCAATTGTTTCGTGTAATGAATGAATTTCAAACGGAAGAATATGCAAATAAATGGGAATTATGTATTGATGAACATCTTCTATGATGTAAACAAATGTTAGATATGTTCCAACTTGCAAATTTCTTGGTGTTAATTGAATAAAAGAAATTAATAGACTTGATGACTCTGTTGAGAAAACTGAGGAATCGTATATTAATGCTTGACTAATAAATGGAATAATTTTTATATCTATTTGCTTAGGACGGCCATAATATTGATAGATATGTCTTGATTTTAGTTTTATTGGGCAAAATTCATTGACATGGTAACTTATATAGTATGGTATAGTTACAAAGTTTGTTTCAATAAAAATTATGGCTGATTGATAGCCTTTTTTGGTGGATAAAATGGAAAATGATAAAATGAACGATTGATTGGCATTCAATTCAATATTTTCCACTTTTGAAAGATATATGTCTTCTGAGTAGGTGTACATTCGGATAATATCAATTTTTTCATGGGAATTCAAGTTTTGTAGTTTTATTGTGTAGTTATTAGTCAAATATTGATCAACTTCGATGTTTTGAAGTATTGATGGTTCAAATCGAATATATAAACTGCTGTTAAATATTAAATTTTCTGTATTTTGAAAACTTGGAACGACGGAGATGTTGCAAAAATCAGGCAAATCCACATATATGAAATCTATATCAGCTAATTTTGGATTTTTGGTAGTTATTTCATGAAAAAAACTGTCTGATATTTGGGGAATATAAGGAAGAATTCGTTGATGATCATTATCCTTATAAATCGAGTGAAATATAGTAATATGATCTGGATCCTCAAGATATCCGGAGGACCAAACACTGTGGAAAAAGAAGGATATCATCAGTTTATTAGAACCTTATAATGATCGTTTAGATTGAATTCCAGAATTATTATACAAGATGATGAGATTGATTATACTGATTTTATTTATGAAAAATTTATAGTTTTCGAAAAAGTGACAAATATGATCATATTGTATTTTGCATTTAAATTCTTGTATAAATAATTTTTGAGATAATAAAAAATTGATCATAGAATTTCAAATGATCTGAATTTTTCTATCAACTTAATATTTCCTATCTATGATTGATTGCAAGACAATATTTATTCAAGTCAAATTTTGTCAAAAAATTCCATATCAGGCCTTCCCAACAATTTTTTGCTCAATTCTCCAAATGATTCCAAAATGTTGATGAAAATATTATGATTTTGTGATTTTATTATTCTATTTTCCAATTATTTCATTTGATTATGTGATTTTTAATCTCCATTTATGAGACACGAATTCTTATCATAGAAGTTATTCATCACTCTCCATTATTGAAACCTAAAATCTTATGGGATTGCCAGTAATTGATAAATCCACGGGTTTTATTTTTTTGCAGCAACACGGGTGTAACACGGTTGTAAACTATTCAATTTCTCTCAAATATTGAGTACTTTTGGGCAACACGGGGATAGAATTGAATACCTTGGGCAACACGAGATTTTTTATTAAACGTATACTTTTATGAAAAATGATTGCTAACTCTAGATCAAATTAAAATTTGGATATAATAATTATAGCAATTATGCGCCTTCAATTCTCCATTAAGTCTAGATCATCAAAATTGCACAATTCAAGATTTCATAATTGCATTTCAAATATTTTAAAAATTTTTTTATTAGCATCCATCGAAAACCATTCCACGCCAGATACAATGCATATACAATCAAAAGGCTAAACATAAATTAAAGATTTCTCCATTTAAATATACCATTATTTTAAAAATTAACTTTGAAGCTTAGCTAACATCGAAATACAGAAGGAAACTAGATAGATTCTTAGTATCCCTGCAAAGATTCGGTGGTAATTACCAAAGATTTAATTTCGAATACAATAAGAAGAGTATATAAAGTTTCCTTCAAAGATTAGCTTCTCACCGATATCTTTATTATAAATGTTAGTCATAAATCAATTGGATTGAATTTAATTTTTCATTCTCAAATTACGAAACTCAAACTCAGACTTGAGTAGGTTTTGACCATTTTACAATCATTTATATGTATGGATTTGTTATAAAGCGAGTAAAAAAAATATTATTCAATGAGAGAGGGTCAAAGTTGCTATTTGTCACTTTTCCACAAGAATATAATGGGGAAAAAGTTATCATATAGTTGATCTCATTCACTGAGGGGAGAGATGCGTGTAGTGTAATGGGATAAACAGTGGGATTGCTGCTCTAAGTCCTAGGTTCGAGACACATTGGCTTCATTTTTCTCTTTTTTATTGACGTAAACTATTCAATTTTTGTGTTCTCCATTCAAATTTCAGAATTTTTTTTGCAGATTTCACGCTACATTCGAAGTTACCTTTTGTAACAACCACCACTGCCTACGAAAGACGAAAGTGTGTCACGATTTCACCCGGAAATCCGACGGTTGTTTAAGAGTAAGCACTTTTGGCACCTACTCATTATTCAATTTGATCTAATGAAGATAAATTTTTTTGAATATGATAAAAGTTATTCTTCTCACCAAGTCATATTGTAGCACATCCTAGTTGAGAAATATTATCACCTTTTTAAACAAAAAAAAAAAAAAAAAAAAAAAAAAAAAAAAAAAAAAAAAAAAAGGTAGTGGGGCTTCCAGGCACTTCGTGCCTTCTAGCCCTGAGGATGTTTTGTCAAGACTTCTTCATCGTAAATGTTTGTACTTCTCTTCGTAAATGTTTTGTCAAGACTTCTTCATCGTAAATGTTTTGTCAAGACTTCTTCGTAAAGACTTTGTCAAGACTTCTTCATCGTAAATGTTTTGTCAAGACTTCTTCGTAAAATCAGACAAAAATAATGTTTATGTTAGAATGTTAGATCTAACCTCTTTTCTAACCTCTTTTCTAACATCGTAGAAAACTCATGATTTCTTCGTAAATGTTTTGTCAAGACTTCTTCATCGTAAATGTTTTGTCAAGACTTCTTCATCGTAAATGTTTTGTCAAGACTTCTTCATCGTAAATGTTTTGTCAAGACTTCTTCATCGTAAATTTTTGTCAAGACTTCTTCTTCGTAATGTTTTGTCAAGACTTCTTCGTAATGAGCGTAAATGACCCAAAATAATGTTTATGTTAGAATGTTAGATCTAACACGTTTTCTAACATGTTTTCTAACATCGTAAAACTCATGATTTCATCGTAAATGTTTTGTCAAGACTTCTTCATCGTAAATGTTTTGTCAAGACTTCTTCATCGTAAATGTTTTGTCAAGACTTCTTCGTAAAATCAGACAAAAATAATGTTTATGTTAGAATGTTAGATCTAACCTCTTTTCTAACCTCTTTTCTAACCTCATGAATTTTCATGAACTTTCTTTACAAAGTCTTTACGATGAAGAACTTTACAAAGTCTCAACAAAACATTGACAAGAAAGTTCATGAGAAAGACTTTACAAAGTCTTTACGATGAAGAACTTTACGAAGAAATCTCAACAAAGTCTTTACGAAGAAGTCTTGACAAAACATTTACGATGAAATCATGAAAATTCAAGAGGGTAGAAAACATGTTAGAAAACATGTTAGATCTAACATTCTAACATAAACATTATTTTTATTGAATTCCGTATGAAATTTCATGAATTTTGTATGTTTTAGACCATGTTAGAAAACATGTTAGAAAACATGTTAGATCTAACATTCTAACATAAACATTATTTTTGGGTCATTTACACTCATTACGATGAAGAAGTCTTAACAAAGTCTTTACGAAGAAGTCACAATAAAGTCTTTATGAAGAAGTCTTGACAAAACATTTATGAAGAAATCTCAACAAAGTCTTTACGAAGAAGTCACAACAAAACATCTGTCAAAAACCGCTTTTTAACTTCACTTAAAATGCCACGTAAGCTACGTAAGAATATACGTAAGAGGAAGGGAGCATTGAAACATCCAATAGTAAGACTAACACCACAACAACAGTTGCAACAACAAATGCTGAATGACCCCACTATGTTGCAACAAATGTCAAGCAACCCTATGCTTTTAAACCGAGTTATTGGTGCACAGAGTGGAGGTTTAAGAGCGGCACTTTTAGCGAAAATGGCAGGCTATGGTGGAGCTGCAGACGGAACAGCTTATAACCCTCAAAGTCAAATGAATTTGAGTTCACTCAAAAATCAAATAACAGATGTCAAAAAGTCAAACATAGACATACAGAAGCAAATAAGTGAAAACGAAAAGAAACTAGAATATGACAGACACACAAAGAAACTCAATGAGTTAAAACGTAGAGAAAAAGAAGAAAGAAGAACAACTGAAAGAACTAAGTACAGAGGAATATGCGAAAAAAGTGTCAGAAAAAGCAGCAGAAGTAGCAAAAATGGAACAAGATGTCATAAATTTGAAAAACCATACTACTCAATATAAAGTACTGAAAGATGAAGAGATAAAACAAAAAGCCCTGAAGACATATATGGATAGCGATGAGTATAAAAAAGAAGTTGAAGCAAATGTAAAGGCAGAAAAACTTTTACAGTTGCAAAACCAAACCGTACAGTATGAAAACTTAGCACAAGAAAGTAAAAATAACGACGCAGCCATGCAAAAGGCAATGAAAAGCGCAGAATATATAAAAGCTAACAATGACTGGTTAGATGCCCAAGCCAACGCTAAAGCAGCCCAGCTTATAGGGTCAATAAGGACAAAAATACAAGCGGATGAAGACAGTTCAAATGAAGCTTTAACAAATGCTGACTTTAAGAACGCCTTCGAAGCTCTTCATAGTAAGGTGAAACAAGTGAACGATTTCTCATCTGGAAAGAAACTGAAGTCTGAAGGTTTCGACAAAGAGTTAAAAGAAGTAGCACAAAATATGACGAAAATAACAGACGCAGCAACGAGACAGGCAGTTCAAAGTGCCTATGACGCCGTTAGAGCAACTGTTGTGAAAAGTCAAGAAAAAGAGTTACAACAGACCAAAACAGACCTAGTAAATGCTTTCTTAAAAACGAAAAGTCAGGTAGGACATTACGCTGCAGATGGAACATATGTGCCAGCTGGTGGAACTTATATACCACCAAACCCTCCAAGAGAAGCACCTGCACCAGGACTACCTAAAACATTTACATCGTCACATGGACACAGACACAGGCATGCACCAAAACCAACACAACAACCAACACAACAACCAACACAACAACCAAAACCAACAGTTCAAAACCCTGCACAGCAACCAACAGTTCAAAATCCAGCACAACAACAACCACAAACAGAGCAAGGACATAAAAGAAGTAGAGAACAAGGAAACCAAGAATTCTTAAAAATGCTTAAAGAAGAGTGTGGTTTCCCAGATACTGTTGACTTTAGTGACAGATATAAAGAAGCTATTGGAAAGTTCAAGGATGGAAATACTGACCCGAACCTATTTAGCTTTATGGCTCAGCACCAAAACGGATATAATCTCAAACCTGAAAATACAAGCTCGCTAAGGGATATGATTTAATAGCATATCATCCAAATGACATGGATGAATTTACTCCGAGATATTTGATGTCAGAGCTAAATGACAATTCAACTTTCGTCATGAAACGCGTAAAAAATAGAGACGGAACGAAAGAACAAAAGCTTATGAATGCGGATGACGTAGATAGGGAAATTGTTGAAAACGGTCTCGGAATATATGAAATGCCAGCAGATGAGGTACAAGAAACTCCACAGGAAGAAGTTCAGATACAACCAGACATGGAAGAAATAGTTCAGCAACAACAGCTAGAAGAGCCTGAAGGAAACGAACAAGTCCTTCCTTTGGAAACTAACTTCACAGAACTAGATGAAGATTTGGAACAGCCGAAAAATCTTGACCCTCAACAAGAG